AAAGAAACTTTTTTTGTCTGATTCACTTCAAGTAGATTCATAATGTACTGTAACATCGTTATATATTCGTAATGAAAAATTCTATGAATATGGAATGCATTTTTTCACGAAACATATAAAGAAATGGAGTTGATGGTGATTTCTTCAAGACGAAACATTGCACTGAGAATCCGTCAAGGCTGTCTCGTTGAGGATAATTGGTAGCAACAGGGATAAAAAATTTGTTTTGTCAGCTTTTTTTCAGAGTCAGAAACAGAAACGGATCTGGCAAATTTCGGAGTTTTTTGGCATATTCATGGAAGTTATTAGATTTTTGCATTCAATCATCACCGTATCTCTTATGGTTTCCGAGATCTCCACAAGAACTATCCTGTACCTTGGACATTTGTATCTTTTTTGGTGAACGTTCCAAATAAACAATTTCCCTCAAACATTCAACAGCCTTGAAACCGTATCACTTGAATCACATTTATCAATACTTTCAGCTAGTTGCCCCTAGTGACAGGGGGCCGTTTTTCAAATGACTCGCTCCTTGAAAAGATTGACTGGCGATTGAACTGGGCGGTTGTTGTCCAGAACCGGACATATTATTGTTCATATCGCCATTGGAGGGTGGAAGCGGGGGTCGGTGTCCATTCAGAAGATGGCTGGGGAGGTTCACCTGAAACAAATAATATCATCAGAGGTTGCTAAAAATACGAGGACGTATTAATTTGTAGTTGGGGTGTTTATATACGTGTGCGTCTTCACGTTCATTATCCTGGAACCAGGACTCTCTTCACAAGCCGCTACTAGAGGCGACATATACTCAGGTAAGAACCACAGACACGTAGGGGAGAGTGGGGTCAGTTGTAACGCGGGTCAATTGTGACACAGCTCAAAATGAATGCTTAAATAGATTCAAACATCCCGCCAAAGCCACTGACCGATCCGTCAGTATGCTTCTACCTGCTACCGAGTTCACATCGTTGTTGCATCAGCCACTCATAAGTTATTTTATTGAGAGAGAGGAACGTTAATTACTGTTTGTATAGCCGTTAATGCACTGGGAAATTCAATTCCACCACTTTTCATTTTTCCAAGAAAGAAGTATAAATCTTTTTTTTTAAATAGCGCCCCACCAGGTTCTATTGCAGCAGCGAATGGTAGTGGTTGGATGGATAATGAAACATTTTTATAATTCATTAAACATTTTTCTAAGTTTTTCAAACCTTCTGAAGATAATAAAGTTTTACCAGTTTTAGATAACCACGACTCTCATATTTACCTACCGACGATCGACTATTGCACGGAAAACGGGATAGTGTTATTATCTTTCCCCCCGCATATTTCCCATAAACTTCAGCCATTAGATAGGAGCGTTTATGGGCCATTTGAGACTTACCTAAATACTGCTATGGATGCTTGGTTGAAAAATCATCTTGGACAAACGATGACCATATACGATCTACCAGGAATTGTAGCAAAATCACTGCCATTAGCCACAACACCTAACAATATTCAAAGAGGATTTAGAGTATGTGGTATATATCCATTCAACAGAAATGTTTTTGACGAACTTGCTCCTTGTTCAGTAACTGATCGGCCTCTAAATAATAACGTTTCAACTCAAGAATTGGAAGCAGTAGCTTCAACTTCAACAGCTGTTATGGTTCTCACAAAAAACATTTCAAAATCTGAACTGTGTAATATAGAATTGGCCATTTCCCAAGCAGGTGATAATCAGATCCTTGATAAACCGAACCTTGACGCGCACGTGGAAGCGTCCACTTCGAGGGATAGTCTGGCTCTTGATATGTCAGAAGTCGATGATGAACCCCTAGTTTCCATTTGTGATGTACTGTTTGGTACCTTTGGTGTAGTAATGAATATCACTGGAGTTTTTTCCCAACAACAAATCGTTATTTTTACACCTCGACACGTGTTTCGATCACCAAGTGATCATCTTCAAGAGGAAGATAAAGTTTTATCTACTGTTTGAAACCATACAGTCATGACAATAACGAAGAAGTTTGGATTAAATGCCTAGATTGTGAATCATGGTGTCATGAAGAGTGTGCAGACAATGTAGATGATTTGTATTTTTATTGTTTGAATTGTAAAGATTAGTTGTTAGTTCAATTGTATTGTTATCTAAATATCACCAAGTTTAGTTACTTTTTTACATACATTTAAACCACTGTTTTACCTGAATATATTTTTTTTTGTATTTTTTATTGACATTTTCTATTGCGTTACAATTGTCCCTGAAGCTGTTACAACTGACCCCCTTATGGGTACAATTGTAACATTTGACATAAATACATAATAGACGTGTTAAATTCAAAAAGTGTTTGATTTCAGTTAAATACATGTTTTAACCTTAATGAAGAATGCTTATTTTATCAGTAGAGCTTCGTTTGATCTAAATATAATATTTAATTTGCGAGCAAAATCGTACGTTGTCAAAATTGTTACAATTGACCCCACTCTTCCCTAATCTCTCCCACTGTTTTTTTTCCAGGATAAAATTATTTTGGGAACTTCATCAAATCATACAATCCCATATTATACTACAGTCCACTCATGTAAAGATCCTACAGTTACTGTTACTTAACTACTCAAAATGGGAGTATCAACATTTTCAAAGAGATCAATGAATTAGGCATTGCTTTCGGTTATAAATTGTCATTCACATCACGTGAAGGGATGAACTGGGGGTACTTACAGGTGGTATCGATGTCTGCCTCTTGAGGTGTGATAGTGGTGGAGGATTATACGCCATATTGGCAAACACCAGTCGTTCTTCATAGTCGTACTCGCAAAGTATTTTGTTCTCGCACAAGTAGAATCTGTCGCCTACACAAAATCTGGAACAAAACAGAAAGAAATCAGCAACTGGAATACCTGTAATACAATATGAGCAGTATGATACTTGGTATATGATCTCTACAGATGTCTAATTTCACTTATGCCTATTTATTCCAGATACCGTATTTGAAATGATCTTAAAAATACGCACAAAGAAACCATGAGGTCCTTATTGTGGAGTGATTTGAACATTGGAATTGTCACTTGTGTTGTCATAAGGTTTGATGGATGTAATCTACAGTTAATCAAAAATTGAAAGTAAATATACTGGTCAGTTCGCATCATATCATTTCTTGTATGTATTCATATACTTGATCATTATTAGAAATGATCACATGGAAATATAATGAAGTTTTGGCAGCAAATCAAATGTCATTAGTTGTAGGATTGTTGAGTCTTTGCTAGAAGAAAGTCGTATCATCTGCAAAAAAGGTACATCTTGCTGGTTTGATGAAACTGCATTCACCATTGATACAAATCAAGAACGATACTGGTCCTAAAACGGAGCCCTGAGGAACATCATACTTCATTCGTTCGAGCTTCGACTTTGTGTTGTTCATTTCAACTTATTGGTACTCAACACAGTAACTCATTTTTCAAAATCAAAATAGTATACAGCGTAACTCACGGTCGAATGTAGGTTAGACGTTTCTGGAAAACGCAAAGCAAGATTTTTCTGAAAATTTCCCCTCTCACATTTCCTTACCTGTTCTATTGATCTAAAATATTTTCTGCATTGCGGCGTTGCCACTTCTATCAAAAAGTCCTAGCAATTATATTTTTTTTAATGGAACACCCCGTATATTAATACATTTTTGGAATCGCTCTAGTATTTTAAAATTTTTTTGTTGATAATGTCCTATACCTATCTCTATCTGTTTTCGAGATGAAAAATAAATTGTGCTAAATATGGTCCAAAACATAGTCTTAATTGAAATCAAGTACATCAGTACTCTCATTTCATGAAAAGTTGATATTTTAAGGATAGTTTGGAAAAACTGGAAATATTCAAATAACACCAAGAATTCGACTCCATATCATACAGGGCGTGCTAAAATTACTATTATTTCCATTGTGCATAAAAGTAGTCAAAAGTTCATTTTTTCAAATGAAACCCCCTGTATATTACTCGGTAAATTGAAAGATGGTGAAAATAGCTTCAATATGATATCCATGATATCCATCATGTCCCTATACCTGAATCGTCAAGTTTTTTCAATAAAGTCGCTTCTTCTAGAAACATTATTTTTTTTAGAATTTGGATTTAGGTAGCAGTGGAATTATCAAGCTTATAGCAGTTCGGTTACTTTCATAAGTAATTTACGAAGAGTTATCGACGGTGTTTCGAATCATCTTCCTGTTCCATTTAAAAAAATAAAGTTGCTAGGACTTTTTGATGGAAGTGGCAACGCCGCAATGATGAAAATATTTTAGATCGATAGAACAGGTGAGAAAATGTGAGAGGTGAAATTTTCAGAAAAATCATGCTTTGCGTTTTCCAGAAACGTCTAACCTACCATCGACCGTGAGTCATGCTGTATACACTCGCAAGCGTCGCGTCGGTACTTAAACAGCATTCAGTTTCTAACCACCACTTACTTTGGATTGAACTAGCCAGTATTACGATTTTCAGAAAGATTAATACTGAATTTACCATATTTCTGAATATTGTCAATTGTGAGTTAACCGAGGCCAAATAACAATTTCATGTTGATATTCAATAAAAAAACTGCCTCGGTTTACGGTCCGTCAGTCACGAAAAACGAAATATATTGTACGGCAGCAAACAATGGCCGCAACATTAAAAAGGAAATACATGACTAGTGTTTATTTCATTCTGCGCAAACAAAATCGCTTTTTCATGGGTTATAGTTACACTTGAAAAGAGCAATCATTTCATTGTCAAATTATCCGTAAAGCGCAGAACAAATGCCCGACCGAAAACAAAACAAAATCTAATATAAAGCGCACAATGAAATAATAAAACACAATCGAAACAAAAACTGCAATTATATACATGACAATATATCGCGGAGACCACTCGCTAATGCAGTTAAATATATTTAATAATTGCGAACAATAAAACTGGATTATTTCGCGTGGATTGCCAGTGGTTTATTTCAACAAACTGGAAAACGGAATGCAAAACAATGGAGGAAAAGGACGGCAACACTGTCGGACGACGGCTGTCTGGACAATGTATTTAATTTAAAAACATGGTACAGGACTCCCAACTTTGAAAATTTAATTAATTTTTAACAGGCCATAATATACACACGTTGTGAAAATGCTCTGAGAAATGATATTGTACGTGAGAGAACTATTTCATGTAGAATTTCGAAGTTTTTTGAGTGACTTCAGGTTTTTAGCGCTCATGTCATATGAACTGAAAGTTTTTTATGGATTTCGATTTTGGAAATCTAATACGATTCCCCAAAACTGAAAACAATTTTCATTTTATGATGAAGTTATCCGATTCCCAATTCTAATGGATGCGATATCCAACTTTATGATACACAAAGTCGCTGATAAAAGTATGATTTATTTTATTACGATGTCATGTCATTAGTTTCGATACACCCTGTATTGATATGAAATACATATCCCAATCCAGAGCGCAATCCACAGAAAAAACCTCAAGTTTTTCCCAAACTTCACTATGAATGAGACTTACAGTTTCGCAAAAATTCCCGTAGAGTTTATTTTAACTAAGATTTTTTATGTATCATATGTTTACATTCGGTTCATTACTATTTTCAACAAAATATTCATCATGATTTCAAATTCATTCAACAACTTCCCCGCTCGTGGTCAATAATGGATTGACCGCGTATCAGTACACTGTCGATTGTCGGCCAAGTGCGGTCAAAAAACACAAAAAAAAACTCTTTCGAATGCTTCGCAAAATCCGATTTGATACCGCTCTCGATTTATAAGAAGCTGACATTCATCATTTCCAATACAGTCCACTGGAAATCCAAAAACTATCGCTGGTTAGGTGGTTGCAACCCCTACAACTGGAAATGAAACTGAATTCTCAACAACTATTTCGAATTCTATCACTTTTCGAGAGATATCTGACCTATCCATTTCTTTCACAGAAAATACCACATTCATTAGACCTATTGAGTTTCTCCAAATTTTTGAATGCCACCCATTCCACCCCTATTAATTCGCCCAAATCATTTGTTGGAAATTTGTAACATTGTGGTCGCCTGCAGCCAAGATTTCTGGTAAACAATTTGTACAGGTGTTTTCTGAAGTGAACAGTGTCCAGTTGAAGTGGTCCTGTAATCATTTCAAGCCAATTCCTGCGCAATTCTTCAGTTATTTTCTCATATTATGTTGGCAAAGAAATATTCAGCCTCCTCCGACAGTTTCATTTCTCGATCTCCAATAGTCAGATTCACTTGTTCTTCAACCTTGATTCTCTTACTAAATGCCAACAAGGTTGATTCGTTGTTCAATGTCATTATACTTTCATAGATTGCTACATGCATCCTCTCCTTATTAGGATTCCAAAAGGGTGACGACAAAACCCCCGGAAAACAACTCATTGCAATTACTACTGTTTGACGTATAATGGTCGTGTACATCAATCATCCTGCAAGCATGTAGTCGACACTTGAAGTCATCTGAAAAAGCAAGTACTTCCTGTTTCTTGTTCAAACCAATTATGAACTACCCTAATTTTCAAATCATCAGCTTAGTACCCGTATTGAAAAATGGTGACAAAAAGACTATCGAAAATTATCGTCTTATATCAATCATCAGCGTACTCTCAAGAATTTTGGAAAAACTAATATCTCTCAGAATAAACGACTACCTCGAAACCTTCGATCTGATGACAGAGTGCCAACATGGATTCAGGAAAAACTGCTCAACAGAAACCGCAACGCTAAATTTCACACAACACATACATGATTTAATTGACGAAAAAAATATTGTTGTAGGAGTCTTCTTTGACTTGAGCAGGGCCTTCGACACTATGAACTCTAAATTTGTAGCAGACAAACTCTCCAACCTTGGAATTCGTGGTAATGTAAATCAATTAATTGTTTCTTTTTTGGCGAATAGATGTTTCCAGGTGAAGCAGAATAACATCAAGTCAGATAAATTTTCAGTTACAACAGGTACCCCTCAGGGCAGCGTTCTTGGACCACTAATATTTTTATTATATGTAAATGATCTTCCTCTATGCAGATGACACGTCTATCATTCTTTTTAGTAAAACATCTGACGATATGACACAAATGGGAAATGCTGTTCTAATCGAATTTAATGGGTGGTGTAACAAGAACAGACTCATTGTCAACCAGAACAAAACGGTATACATGCAATTCGCGAATTCATCGAGAAGTCAACATAATCTCAATCTCAGTTTCCAAAATGAACCTTTAGAACTGACCAGCTCGACAAAATTCTTAGGAACTATGGTTGACTCACTCCTCACATAGCAAGAACATATAGATTATATATGTAAGAAATTGAATCAATCATACTATCTGATAACATCTCTTAAGTGCAGGTTAGATACAAATTCACTGATATCAGTTTATTATGCCAAATTTCACTCTATCATGTATCAGAACATTTCGGTCTGGGGACTAGCTACTGGATCAGACAGGATTTTTATAAAATTGATATTTAATTTAGACTTCAGAACTTCATGTAGAAATATATTCCAACAAAATAAAATATTTACAGTTGCAAGTCTGTACATTTTAAAAACATTGACATATATACATGAAAATAAAGAACTTTTCCAAACAAAAACAGAGATGCATAGCTATAATATAAGAAGAAAAGATATGATCATAACACGAAAACACCATCATGCAAAATATGAAAAATCTCCTAAATATGCCGGCATTCGAATGTATAATTTACTGCCAAACGATATAATGCCTGGACAACATTATTTTTATTGTGAAACCTAGTTTACTTGCATTCTATCTAGACCTAGAATTTTATTTATATGTTTGTTTATACCTTTGTA